CAAACAATCTCCCGCGTCAACGTGACGGCACAGGGTCAAAGTTTTTGACCTTTAGATTGATGCTGTTCGAACTTTAATTCATTCATTCTTAAGAGTCTTGAAACTTTATTCTAATAAAGTTCTTTATTGTTAAGTTTAAAGGCACTTCTAACAGATCATTAGATTTCTTTTGTCGAAGATTATTATTAATATTAACCTCCCGTTGCACGCCCCAGCGAGCTGAAAATTGAGGAGATCATGATTGAGATTGATTCACACCCTAAATTCGATAATTGTGCATATTTTTACATTATTCCACATATGGTACGTTGTGTATAAACTCGCAGAGAAATTTTTGTCCTAAATTGAAATAGTACTGCTATACCATTTATCATTTATTTCATATTATCATAATGTAACGGCGGTTGACTGAAATGAAATTCGGTCATTTCATTTTGTCAATAGAATTCTGATATGCGACCCAGGCATATCATAAAGCTATTTTCAGGACATTGAGTTCTTTAAGAATACTGCATGAATCGGAACGCAGTAAGATGTAATGACAAGCAGTGCACAATTGCGCTTTTATTCGCCAAATAAATGAAAGAAACGTTTTGTAAAATAAATTGTTTGTAACTGGTCGTAACCAAGTTGTTCCACGCAAGAGCGCTGTTAAGAATATAAATTTGCTGGGACAAATAAATAAATAAAGCTCTATACAATGAATAGTATCTTTTCAATATTATAGTTCCCGAAATTTCCTGCCGAGAGCTCAAGATTTCGTGAAATGAACAAATTACAACGTGCCACTGAAACAATGTAAACAACTCACCTCAAAACGCAAAGTTCCAAACGATCGCAAGACTTCGTCTTTTTACCACACGGAAACTGTCCCTGCCTCGGATACTGGGTTTAAATTTTGCTCCACTGCACTGAGGTCTGTTTTGATAAATCTGCTTATAAACTGAATCACGAGGGTTTTCAGTCGATTAAGACTTGGCAGCTAATAATGAATGAGTTGTCGTAGACAACACTGCATTGAAAATAAAAGATCGCACGTTGATTGGTGCATATAAAACAAACTTGTCAAAATCAATTGAAATTTATTCACATGAAAGAACAATATGTCATGACGAAAGAAAAACAAACTCGGGTGATTTGGTATTTCCAGTTGGTACAGATGTTTTCAGCTATAATTTTATGCATTTAACATTTACTCGGAAAAAAAAAATGCTACGTTTTTGTTTTCTTGTTTTTGTTTTGTTTTTGTTTTTTTTTTTTGTATAAATTACATTAATAGAAATAACTCTATCTAAATTTATAGATAAAATCAAACCCTCGGACTGAATTTAGGAGCACTTGATCGTCGGACTAGTACCAGATGAAGTACCCGTGAACCTCTATTTGTTGAGTCATTTCTCGGTTTGCAAGTATTCGAGCTATTATATATACGGTTTGAGTAAACATGAAAACTTAATATAAAATGAAAGCGATTTTTCTCCCCTACCAGTCTTTTTTTTTTTCCTAACAATAACTACGCCAGCAATAAAAAGTGATGATTGCGGTAAACAAACTGAAGGATATCGTCGTTTTTATAATACTTCTCTCAGTTGTGTTCAGCATATCCTACTCACCGACCAAAGACAATAATAATAATAATTTCGATTTCTGATAAATTATGCGTTTTTCCAGAATTTAAGTCGTCTAACTACGGTGCAATGGACCTATAAAACAACAACACGAGCTTGCATAGTGGGCTATGGACTAAACGTCATTGAACCACTATAAATTTTTATTATTTTGTTTTAGTATAAAGGGGACTTTGACTGAATCAAATGGGAAATGAAATAAAATTTTCAGTCCACTAGTTTGAAGTCCATTCTATCTTTAGTATTCCAAACTTTAAAATAATTCGTGGTCTTATTGTTTACACTAGATTGTTTGCGCAAAGGGAACGATAGCAAAATTCCGCTCAGCTTACATTTCAGAGAAAGTCAACAGTACTGTCCGGCACAGCTGGTGCATTGATGCATATGTAGATGCAGCCGGTTAAACCCCCCTCTCATAACGTGAGGGTTTGAGTCTTGTGTTAATGAAAAACTTGAAAATAATTCATAAGCCTATTGCCGGGTGGCAAGCAGGTACCTGCTGGGCTTTAGGTTTCGCAACAAATGGCTGAATGTTTGTGTGGTGGTGGTTGTGGGGGAGGGGGGAGGTTTACAAGGGAATCAATAGAATTCAGCGAGAGCTATTTCAAAAGAGTGAACGGATACCTAGAAAATTTTGAGGTATTCGTTTAGTCATTTATTATTTTTTTCCAAACCACAAGACTTAATAAACAACTGAGTACGTTTTGAATTCTTGTAAATTGCACACTTTCGTGTCAAGACAAAACCTTTGACCTGTTCTACCGGTCAGCGGCTTATTTCTTACATAAATCTCCCCACAACACATTCAACTGGCCTTGGAAGCAATTAATTGCATAAAGAGGGTTTTTTCACGTAGCCTTGCAGTCTGTTGCTTTGCTTCTTTTCATATAGGAGTCCCCCCCCCCCCGGCATTTCAGTGTTCCCAGTAATCTCTTCGAAAAGCACGACTACTGTTTATGGTGTTTTTTCATGCTCAAGGCTATACCCGGGGGGTGGGGGTATTCCCATTCTATAAGCTATACGGGGATGTGCCGCTGTGAAGGCGCCACATGTGGTTTTCAGGCAGTTTAGTCTGGGATGGGGTGTAAAAATCAGACAGTTTTGTTCCAGAATATATATGGTATAATTTACCGGAAAAGTGTCCAGTGTAAAAATAATTTAGGCTAGAACAGGGGTCTCCACCCGGGATTCTGTAATAGAAATTGAAACTCGGAAGTAACTTTGTAAGATATTGATCAGTTAACGTTGGAATACGGTAGTCAGAAACCACGTGAATGATCTATCACAAGAAATCTGAATTTTGACATAGGAAATTTTCAATAACTTGACAGAACATGCGGTGAAAACTATTTACGGCAAATTACGAAAATCGTCTCTGTCAAAATTTTAGTAGAACAGTGTTTGCAGAAGGACACTGGTTACCTGTTGAATCACGGATTATATTCAAACTTCTGCTCATCACTTTTAAGATTATCCATGGACTTTGTCCAGCTTACTTGTCGTCCCTTCTACAACAATACCAACCGCAACGGAGCTTACGCTCATCCTCTAAACTTCTTTTCACTGTCCCTACTGTGAACTCTGTGACATACGTGTGATGAGGTCTATTTTGTCAGGCTGAATTTTAATATGTCGCAATTGGTCTATTAGAAAATGAAAAGTGAAGTGATTTTATAGATCTTGAGTCAAAAAAAACCCCAGTGAAATCGGAGTTTCAGTTGCGATTGCATGCACGTTTATCCCTGCACGCGCAGAAAAAAAAAATTAATTTTCTTGATGGACAATTTTTTATTCTGCGGTTTGCTTCCCTGGAATAGAAGAATAACGAAGTTAACTTGTGGAGTATTATATTTTAGCGCCCACGGAATAGGTTGACTACAAAACATCTGCTTCAGTCACGGAATTAATACCGCATGATTGGTGTTTAAATGCGGCAATAAAAAGTCAAAAACTCATATGTTCAACTCAAGCAGCGGAACCTGGAGGAGGCTTTATATACAACAAGTATATGGAAAATATTCTCATTCAGAATCACTTTTGAAACAACAACACGAGGTAGGCCACAGAAAGTATATCAACTTCTTTTAAATTTTCCGTGAGTTTTGCCTCCATCGCTTTGGTATCGTTTAACGGGGTTGGCTTTCATCTTCTCAAAATTAGTCACAAAGGTAAGGTAAGCTATCAGGTTCTCCACTGTAACAAGTTGGTTTTGGTTAGTTTGGTAATTTTTGGCCAGATGTACTTCTAACCCATCTGTTTGATGTATTTTGTTTATGGTTAAGCCAATATTGGTATTGTAACTTACCATTTGAAAAGACTCGAAGGAACAGAGTCCATGAATGTTATTACGGTCTACCGCAATTTATTGAAGATTTGTTTTTCGCATCATGAGAGCGGATGTTCGAGTCCCATAGAGATTTCAAATGTCATCTTGTATTTGTTTTGGCGAAGACAAGTCTCTATGTTAGTACCCCATTCGACTTCCATGAGTATAACGGGATGTGCACAAACTATAATATAAATATTAAAAATACTGCTTAAAATAACTGCAGTGGACAACATGCTATTCAGAGGGAATAGCCACGTGCCATAGCTCGAAGAAACTTAAGCACTTTTTAGACTGATGAGCTACTCGCTTCGTAAAGCCATGTTTTACTGTCTCGACGCGCCCTTGACAAGAAACCTGCGACTAGACTCTAGTAGAGACGAACAACTTGCAAAGTATAGGATTCGGGGAAAACATTCTATCGTTTATTACGCGTTATAAAGATTAACCCATTCGGATGAACGAACTGGAGCTTCCAGCTACATCAAGAGTTGGCAAGAACGGACTAATTTACAAACAATCCTCGAGCATAGCTTACAGCAAATCTTATATTCGTTATTCAAAACCCAGCTAAAACAATGAGCACAAATTTTCCAAAAGTAATATGCGTGTAAAGTGTAATGTGTCTGGTCGATAACGAAGTCATTAATTTCTAATCCTATTTGATAATATTTCCCTAAGAATTACTTTTCGAATAATTAAACAAATCGTGAGGTGGGTAAGTTCTGGCCGGAGTGTAGAGTATTAGACAAAAGCTGAGAGGGTTTTTAAAAAGCGTTAAGAGAAAATGAGAGAACAGAAAGTGAAACGTAAGGCGTTGGCTGGGATATGCCAATTACACGAACAATTTGCAATTACTAAAAATAGAAGGTTCTATTTGTTTGTTCTCATCAAATTTATACGTAAATAGCAAGAAGGAAGCTAATATTACCGTTCTCTGCTTTTCGTATAGGGCTAAACGGCGTCATGACACCTGCACGAATGATCGCCTACAAGTTGCCCAACATCCGGGTTCTCTTCATGTTTTGTCAGCTGCTCGTCGCCACTGCTAGTAATTGTGGGAGTGAATCATCTGTTCATGGCAAAATGCTTCGGGGTCACACTTTGAAAACCCTGGAGACTAGAGATCCTTTAGATTGCATGCAAGAGTGTCACGCTTCTGTTCTGTGCCAAAGTATAAACTATTCCATCTTAAACGGCATTTGCGAGCTTAACAACCGCACAAGGGAAGCGAGGCCGGAAGCTTTGGTAGCAGACATGGGTCACATTTACATGAAGCGGTGGAGCAGAAGAGGTATATGCTGACGGTTGTGCGAACATTAGGCTGCAAAACGCACGTCTAAGTTTGTCAAAATGAATGGTAATTTGTCATTCTTCTTTATTATTTTCCTCCCCAGTTCCCCTAGGTTCCACTACTGAGTTGCCCGCGGAGTCCTGTAGCGAGATCAAGCGCAGTGAAGGATTACAGATAGCCAGCGGTACCTATTGGTTGCATTCTTCCATCACACTGGGTGAAGCGAGTTTGGTTTACTGTGACATGGTCACAGTGGATGGTAAGTTGCCGTACTGATATGTTTCTGTGGTAACCAAAGGCTAATTCGTTGATTCTAGTCCGTCCATTGATGTAGGACTATGATATATTCATGAACAACAAACGTAATTTCACTTGAGTGCGGTTTCAAGAGGTAGTCGTTTATCAGACAAGCAGGGTGAAAGAGCAAATGACTCGATCTAGCTTACTTACTTACCGAAACACCAGGACCGTGAGAGGTGGGGAGAGGCACGATGTCGCGTTAGGGTAGGAATAGAATAAAGCATTATAATTCTTCTGTTGAATAACTGAATAACCTCATTAGGCTGTATTTGTGTTTTATCGCCATTATTTTTGCATTTTTTTACAGATCAGGACGAATGTCAAAATGATTTGATGAATGATTGTCATAGTAATGCGCTGTGCCAGAATACAGTGGGCTCATATAATTGTATCTGTAGGCCAGGCTTCATTGGTGATGGAAAGACGAGCTGTATTCCTGAAGGCAAGCAACGATACATGCGCATGTCACATGCCATTGTTATGTCCGATGATAGTTCTAGGGTAGTGGTTTAGACAACCGAACTCCATTTTTGATCATTTCTTTTTCATTCTCCACATCCGACCCTCTCTCCAGTTCTGGGCAACAAAAACGGAAGGTTTTCCACCCTCAAGTTCTCTCTTTGTGAACAAAATTTGATCTCCGTGCTCCGTGAAGTAACCAGATCCCGTGGTTACCCCTACATTTTATGTTGGTAATCCTATTCAACACGTGATTAGTTTCTAGTTGTGAGCAAAAGGTATTTAGACTGTTGTTTAGTTGAACCAGAGGAAGGCTCTCAGAGACGCGAAAAGCGCTGTTGCAATGATTTTGTCATTAAAAATAAACTAAAAATAGTTTTTATGTTACCATTTACCATGTAGTTTTAAGATCTTTATAAGTGTGTTTGCTTTTCTGTATAAAAATGCGAATTCTATGAAAATCTGTGAAGAAATAGCTTTTTCTTCTTTTTTCAGAAAAATGCCGATGTCAGCATTTTTGTTGAGATTCAAGGCTAATTATCTCGAAAAAATGCGTGGCTACCTCAAGTTTTCTTTTTGGATTCCAATAGTCCTTGTAAAGATCTACTTTTTCGCGTGCTCCAACCCTGGCGCAAAACCCTTTGTATTTAGTGGGCACCGTCCTTAATACATCATTTTCTTTGTCTGTTTTAATTATTCCTATTCCCTAATTATGCAGATTTAGCAGAAGGCTGCACTGGGTACAAGTGGCTGACTGACGCCGACAGACATCACACCTTCACGGCGCCCCAGATCAAATGCGACCGTAACGAGATAACCGAGAAGTCGTGGTACCGATTCGCCGACGAGTCCGGGACCCAGATGTTAACAACGTGCATTCCCATTCTACACTGTAACACGCATGCACCAGGCTGGTTGTTTAACGGGACCCATCCCGAAATGCATGAAGGGATTGTGCCAAGACGAGTCTGTTTCCATTGGTCAAACGATTGCTGTTACTTTAAAACTGACATCAGGGTAAGGAGTTGTGGCTCGTTCTACGCATACGAGCTTGGACCCCCTTCTGCATGTCAACTTCGCTACTGCGGAGAATGAAGGTCACCGCAGCTATACAAGTACCTTAGCTGGCTGCGTCGCAGACGCTACCTACGGTAGGCAAATGTCCGTCTACAATGCAAGCGACAAGTACCTGCACGTGTAACCTACAAAAATTTCACTTGTAAATTGATGAAAATCCTGTTATTTAGTTTTCTGAACTCCGGGTTCTTATTAGCCCGCTGAACTTGCAGTCAGCAATGAAGGGGCATGTTTGTATGAGACGCATGTATTATTGAGGGCTTGAACAATGCGACATTGCGAAAACCTAATTAGTTGTTACAAATATATTTTCAAATATTGGAGGGAGAATGGAGTTCTTAAAAGAAAACATGAACTGACCTAGTTGTACCAAAAGGATGTTGCGAAATTTAAGCAACTTAAGTTTCTTAGAAAGAGTTTTAGTAAGAGCATCGTAATTACACTTGTCCACTATCTTGTCCACTAGTAAGAATTCTTTGGAGATTTGTTTTAAAACTCTTAAAAGTGGGTCTGGATGGAGCCTACTGCATATTCAACTGTGAGTTCCTTTCCTCGGCGATTTCTCGGCAAACAGCAGGATCATTTAAAATTTCAGCCAAGTTTTAACACGAGTAAACTATTTGTCAATTTTTCAGCCTCTCATAACTTGGCTTTCATTAAAAAAAAAACGTGTCATTTCTCAACTGTCCGGTTAGATTTTGACCAATTCTCCTTTATCAGTAAAACCCCGCTCACACCCTCTATAGAGATGAAGGGCTTTAAAGTGGCTGCCGGCGTCTGAACAAAATGATTCGTGAAACAAAACCCGTCAGTGTATCCAGATGTTTTAATCACCGTTCACATAATTTTTACAGGCTTTTAACACAGATTATTGCGCCAACTGAGAATATTACGTCTAGAAGGAGTTGGGGCGGTTTGTCATCCCACCTTCTGAAATGTCCATAGTGATATTACACAAGAAAGAAAAGGTGTCTTTCTGACTTGGATGTCAACTATATCATGATTGACAGTTCTTGATACATCAATTGTTGGTTAAGTTGAAAAATACTAGATTTGTTTAATTTTGGGATAGTTAAGTTTAGAATTTAGATCGATGTGCTATGTAAAATAACTTGTTAGTTGTAATCTCTTGTTGCTACGGTAGGCATTACTTTGCCAGTTTATAGGATAATACAACGCCTTCCACCACCTGTGGAAAAAAGTGCAATAAAATTAAAATGGCAAAGTAACTTCACTGAGTGGTCAACCCTTTGAGCCATGTGATCATGATCTAAATTCTCCTCAGACTATCAGCGCAAAGTCATCTATGCAAGTAATAAGAATACAAATATGAATCACCCAGGGAGGTAGTGCGTACCACGCAGAACTCCGACTGTGTTAAATTCCCTCAGTTAGGCAGTTTTATGGCCACGGGGAGTGGGGGTGGGGGGAGGGAGGGGATAGGACAGAGGGGTCAGAACCTCCCGCTTCCCGTACCCTGATGTCCCGCTTCCCGCTCCCTACTCTCCTGAGCTGCTGGGCTCCTGTCCCCCCTGTCTCCCCTATTATAGAAAACAAGGATTTGCTTTTTAACATTAGGAAACCAAAGGTTAAAGATTTCAATTGATTGAAGGAAGCTAAATCTCAGTTTTGCATGAGTTACGCATGTTCGCCACCTACTTTACTTCGACCTCGTAAAACCACATCAGGAAATAACTTCTTATGAAACGGTTTTAAACGAGCATCGCGATCAATCAGTCTCCAAGACGAGGAAGGTTTTATGTTTGTTCTCAGAGTAGTCTGTGTTCCACCGCTGAATACTAAGTATCTACTCTGGGACCTCAGACCAATTTCCGGCTTTTGTTTAACGCTTACGAAAGCTGGTATTTTTTTGGCGGCGTGAAGAAAAATTCGGAAATCTGTCTGCGTTGGCAGGTGACAAATGGTCATAGTAAATTAAATCAATGAAGACATGATTGATTATCGCAGTGATATCACGCACAGCTCAAGCAGCTGTGAAATTAACGCCTGAAAAAAAAAAATTTAGGATTGAACGGAATTCAAGCCCATGACCTCTGCTATACCGGTGCAGTACTCTACCAACTGAGCCATCAAGCCAACTGGGAGCTGGTCACGTTGTGAGTTCGTAATATACCCGTAAATGGTGAAGAATGCAACTGAATATGAGCTCTTTCATATATCCACTTGCAACTAAAACTCAAACTAACTAGTTGCTATATGTTAAGTTGAATCTCACTATCAACTTAAGAAATTTCTTTGATTCCCTCTTATCATCGTATTCCTGGTCCTAGCCTACATGTGTCACAGCCGCCCTCTCCGAAAGAAAACAAGTCGGAGCGATTTTTCTTTCCGAGAGGAATAGACAGAGGAGACACAGGCTATCCTGGCCCAAGAACACACCGACTACGCTTCGTTACTCGCAGCGGAAAACCGTTAGAAACAAGAACAGGTTAAAACCTGCACTTACCACTCTTTCCTTCCTTCGTTGCTTCCGTACCCTTGGGGTGCACGTTCTCCTGGTACTGTCCCATAACATTCCCTGGGGGGCTGTATCTGGCCACAACGTATTGAGACCCAGTTTCTTCACCGGCCTTAGCCACGCCCATTTCTAGTGATCCGGCCCACACTACTTGAGTGAAATGCCCCGTGCCTCCAAAGCTCCCAGGGTTATTAAAGTTGTAGTCTTTGATCTCGTCGTACCACATTTTCGTGGCTCCGGCCCCGGTCAGTTCATAGCCTGCATTGGAAAGAAAGTAAATTACTTCGAACTCTCTCTTCTTTACTGTCCCAAGAATCGAAAGACACGAAGAAGGCGTATAGCGAAGGCTGCCCCCCAGGTGAAAACTGGTTTAGGGTTCTAAAGAACTCAGACTGCCCCTATAAAATCTTGTTATCATTAGCCAGTGAAAAGGTAACTAATATAGGAAAAGATAGGCAAAAACCGTGTCGTTTGTTCATTGGAAAACTATAGCTCACTGTCGTTGTTAAGTATTGTACTCCGCGGGTGGAGGGGGGGATACTTCCTTATACGGGCTATATAGGTATGTGCGGCCCCAAAGAGTATGGTATTTCAGTCGTTTTGGTCAGAAAAAGGGTATCGATTTTTGCCATTTGGTTTCAAAAAGGGTATGGTTTTTGTTTCTAGTCTTGAGTTTGGTATGTTTTTTAGAAGAAGCTACTTTTTAATCATCATCGATAAGACCTTCAACAAAGTCTTTTCACAATGCCTTTAACATTGGTCTGAACTAGGGAACTAATTATAACGCAGGTCTGAAACAGGTTATTGATTTAAGGGTCAGGTCTTAACGAAGAGTATCGAATTGTTGGTCAGGTACGTTATAGATGGGGTAGGAAAAATTGCAGTTTTTGGTCTTAAACAGGCCAAGGGTTTTGGGAAGAGGGCCACACCCCATCCAATTTTTCTGGGAGTCCCCTCCCCCACTTCCTCTCCGCCTGATCGGGATTATACTTTAGCGAGCTACATGTATCCCTTTGAAGCTACTTCTTCATTTTGCAGGTTTATTGTTCTCTCAGCACCTCACCTGTGACCTTGCAATACATTTACCCCTCAATAATAAGGGGCCTCTATTGCTCGATACGGTCAGCTCAGCAAGACCTTTATAGCGATCTCCGTTTGCCGTTGTTTCGCAAGCCAGTGGCGAGGCGCTTGCAAAAGGCAGTACCCAATCGACCCCAAATTACTTGCTCTCAAATATGCACGGTTGGAAATCTTACCAGAAGCGAAAGCGAGGTTCTCTCCATAGTCACCAGAACTGTGTTCTAACTTGTTGTTTCGAAGTAATTCTTTGGCCCACTTCTCGCAGTCCGAAGCAAGTTTTGCTGACCACTTCAAGGCCGGGGCGCCATGTTGGGCGCGGAGCTCGTTGTGGTTGTCAAGGCACTCTTTCTGGAATTGGTTTGGCATGGCGGCTTAGAAACTAAAAGACAAGAATGTGTAGTTAAGACAATAGATAGGCTGGTCAACTAAACGTTCCACATGAGCATTTTCCCACTCATACCAAGGGCATTTTACTTTCCGTTTTCGTGTGGACGAAAAACATTTTGAAAACGAAGCTTCTAAAAAAACGATGACGTCACGATAATTACGTGATTTCCCTGACCGAGTTTTCCTCAAACACAAATCCAAAATGGCTGGTCATTGTTGCGTTTCTAAATTCCTCCGGTGCACGGTGGAAGGAAAACATTTGATGCGTTTTCAGAGTGAAACCTCCGTTTTCAAATTCTTCCGGCGTAGTGTGGACGAGGCCTTTGTGACTGAGCCCACAGGAAACATTAAATTTTGGACATGTTTCCTCAATGTTCCCCTCGGCTTCGCCTCCGGGAACATTGAAGACCGTCGGGGAAACAAAACTTACTGTTTCCCTCGGGGGAAGGGGGGGGGNCGCATTGAGTTTTTTTAAATGCGCCCAAAAAACTTTATTATTATTATTATTATTATTATTATTATTATTATTAATATTATTACTTAGTAGTGGGCAAATGACGAAAAAAATCTAACGACTGGATTTTTTTAAAATAAAAAAAAAACATTTTTAAGCCTTGTTTTTAACCAGCCCCGTTGCCATGGCAACAGCAGCCAAAATGCGAGAATAAACCCTTCTGTGGTTAACCTTGACTCTTGCAAAAAACGGGCGCCAAAGCATAAATAGTTCAAAAGTAATGGTGAATTAGGCATAGGCACTTGAAAACTGTGTTCGGCCACCTTAAGTCGATAATTTTCCTGATTAGTAGGGAACTTCTTATAAGTGGGGGAATTTCCCGTCCGTGAATATATTACTCGAAGTAAAATTTTATAGGGTGAGAATTTGCATGCACTTAGCTAAACTGAATCAGTCTACACCTCCTTTCAGAATGCCTGAGAAACTGTTCTGTTCCCATTCTGTGCACTTGAGCTAATTACGATGAAGATTTTTCTTTTTTTACAGTGACATGCGAAACTATTGAAGCTTTGACATTTCAGACAGCAGACATACATATTTACCCCCCTCGCTAACCCCCTCCTTTACGAGGTCTTTTCGTGTAAGTGTCACATTCGTGTCCTGCTATTGTGCGCTTTGTCTGTTTGTGTAACATAGCCCGCGTCGCAGACAGTCTAAACCGCCGGTATATATCGGGGATTATATGACACGTCCGGCTGCAACGCAGGCTAGTGCAACAGAGCCGCCTAAAATAATTTGACCCGGCAGCCTGAAGAGTTTGTGTTGTACGTTACGGAATAATTCAACAAGAAAGGTCCTAACCCCTGAGTAAGTTTATTTAAATCGAGACTGCTAATTTCGAGTAATGCACCGTTAATCTAGGTTTTGGCCCATGTCGCACACTCTATTGTCAAAGAATTAAGCGAAGCAGAGACTGATTTCTACCAGTCGGTCAATAATAAATAACAGACGCCTAACATATCTGAAATAAAAGGGAACTGAATCTAGCGAGGAGAAAAAAAACAGGTTTTGTCGAACCACGAGAAGCTCAACATTTCGGATTTGTCGGGCTATCGATTTTAATCTTATTTTTAATTTAAGAAATTTTTTTGGCCCTGTACCCCACCAGAGAATCTGTTATCAGGCTATGCAAGATGGATTAATTAACACCGCAGCTCATCAAGATCATGTATTCGAATGGTCTGCAATGAGTTAGTGACTTCGTAGTCCGTCACTCAGTTACCATTTATGGTTAAATAAGGTTTAATAAACATTTAACCAGACGCACTAATTTTGTTCCAGTACTTGTGTCGTGAATTAACTTTTCTCACTCTGTATTTCCTACCTTACCCAGGGTAGTTGTTCATAATTGCTGCGTTTATGTTGTCAGGCATAGCACCGATTCAGAGTTGTTTTATTGAAACCGTGGAAATCATTGACCAAAATGACGCAAAAACAGGCCGAGAGACGTTCGAATAAATTCATTTTTATAAGGTCCCTGTAAAATTATAATTCATAAATATTATGCGTTTTATGGCTGGACGATATTTAAAAAATGTCTGCATCGACAGAGGAGGGGAGATAAAGATAGCTTTGTTGTATTTTTGCCTCAGGTTTTTGGCTTGTATAACATAAAACATAGTCTATTTTGCCACTAACAGTAAAGGAAAACTTTCCAACTCACCTTGAGTTTTCAAACTGGTGATCCGAACTATTTGAAGTTATTATTCACGTTATCAGAGGAATTTGAACATAAACCCCTTCGGCACGAACATTCAAAGGTCATGGTGGGTTCATAGCACGAGGTTTTGGGCAAATCATTGGTCAGATGCAAAAGAAAACAGGTTCTCGTTTTTCATGTCTTTCACATGTAGATACGATATCGGTGTAGGCATGCATATTAAATCAATGGTAATAAAATACAAGGAAAGATAATATATCCGGCCGGTGTTGATGACCTCCAGCTAAAATGACGGTTTTCTTCTGTCAGATTATACGGTGATGACAATAAGTTCAAAAATGCTTTCATTATTTTGTGTCATCAATCGTCAGAAAGAACTGCTTTCTCTTAGGAGGAACTTTAATATCACGTACTAAAAACTCTCAAAATAATTCACTGTAGTGGAATGCAAAAAGCTAAATTTAAACCAAACTGTGATGATAGGAAAGGCGGACTTAAGAATTTTTGGACGCAAATCAGAAACTAGCCACATTGACAGAGACGAACTTTGTATGGTTGAAGAGGAAACTCGCCAACAGGCGCGTGTATGTGAGAGTGCCTGGGTAATGAATTTCTTTCCTTTTCATACTTGGACTTAATTTAAATGTCTAGTTTTACTTACACCGTAATTTATCCATAGAAATACTACAATTACAGATACATACAAATATACGATATTGTACAAGCAATTGTAAAAACTCCTTTGCAAACTTATTCATAATCACAGACCGTATATATTAAAGTTGTTTCTAAGTGCCCCTGCTCTTACTGGTCAGCAACAGACAGCTTCCATCAACAAAGGGTCTGGGATCGAGATGCCCTTGTTCACCTGAGGTTGGCGAGCACGTCAAATCAAAACACCCGTTCCGCAAGTTGTAACCCAGTAACTACTGGAGTTGTAATGACGTTGTAACCAGTAAATTATTGCATTGTAATCAAGCTAAACACAATGACAATTCTTTTACTGGGGAGGGGTGATCGAGGAAGATAATTGTACTAACAGGAGACGCCATATGGATTGGATTTTGCGAATATTCAGGCATGTTTTTTGGGCCCGGTAAAAGAAAGGGATATTCCTCCTTT